TAGGCCTGTGGGGCCACAAGAGCAGAATTTTTTTCTTTAAACATTAACACACCTCAGGCAAGGTGCATTTTTAAAAATCCAACAATTATAACAATTCCTAGTAGATACATTACACTAAACTCATGGTTGCCAGCTACCCTTGAGAATGGAAATGAATAACAAAAGGCAAGCTATCCTTTCTCCAAACTATGAAATTGACACATATTTTATTAAAAACTTTTCTAGCCACTCTAAAAACGCAAAATGCTTGCCTCAGATAAGTAGTTGACTTTATAGGATAAAAACTGTATTTATAAAAATCCTCTAGTTTTGTTTCAATTTTTTGCTATTTATTTAACTAGGGATTGAAACCCAGGGGCACTTTACCACTGAGCTGAGTCCCCAGTCATTTTTCTATTTTTCTTTTTGAGACAGGGTCTCATTAAGTTGCTGAAGCTATCCCTGAACTTGTGATACTCCTGCCTCAGCCTCAGGAGTCACTGAGATGACAGGCATGAGCCACCACACTGGCTCAAAGTTTCGTTAATTTTACTTTTCCCTTATTTTAAGGTAACAATTTATTTTTTTAAAAAATCAAACCTAACCCACAAACTCTGGTGTTAATATTATCCCAGGGTTGTTCCATGGATGTTAAAATGCTGACAAGTTCAACAGGTTTTAAGTATGGTAGGTAGTCATGAGGTTGCTAACCAATTATGAGGTGAATTTTTATAAAGACTTTTTGGAAAAAATACTATTAAGATTTTTGTAGCCATATATATACTTACATGTGTATATATACACATATGTATATGTATGTGTGTGTGTGTGTGTGTGTATATATATATATATACACACACACACACACACACACACACACATATATATTTACCTTTAGAAGATGAGAAAAACAAAGTTCCCCAGAAAAACAATTTACCCAAAGCCAATATTAGATTTCATGCTTAACTTGAAAGACAATGTCAGATTACAGTTCTAACACACAGTTAGGTAGTGTCTTCCTATAAAATAAAATAAAATAAAATCTACAACTAGAAAGTGTATCAATATTAAAGAAATGCCCCATTATATAAATTGGTCTTTCCATTGTTCTGCTTTGGGGACTTTGTTCAGCTTCATCTGTGTAAATATCATTACTGTATTGAAACTGTTTCATCTTTACCAATATTATGCCCATGAGATAAGGATCAGCTGAGCTCCTTGGAGACAGGGACTCCCCTCGTTCAATTATTAAGCACTTTCAGGTAGTATGAGCTAACACTAACACAGCAGGTCCTCAAGAGATGGCTGTTTATAAAGGTACAAAACTTGTGATCTATTTGATACATGGCATTTCCTCCAAAGTACATGTTACAGCACTATTAATGAATGACATAAGGATGAGATGATTTAAGCCAATTTGCATTGGTACAAGTCACATTTGGTTTCTCCTAACAAATGCTTCCTCTTTAAAAAAATTCCTCAATTCAAATAGAAAACTCAAAAAAAAAAAAAACCCCACTTCCATTTTAGGGCCATAAAAATACACAGAAAATCAAGTCCATTGGTCTGGACAAAAATCAGAGGATTATCATCAGAGGACATTTCCTCATGCATGGGAGCAGCTAGAGCATTTTCAAAATTACAACACACCAGCCAAACAAGCTTTACTGTCTCCAAACCAGACACTGCTGTCTGGCCACGCTGATTTGCACTAAGCAAGTTGATCAAGAATTACTATGGTGGGAATTCATATGGAAGAAGTAAAGAGAACCAGCACTAAACTCCCAAAGGACAATAAAACTTCAGTGGGGTGGGAGGCAAGAGCAGGAATGAGGACATTTTCCATGTTCTCTATATCTAAAACTGGCACAAGAAGTGTGGGGACAAGAGGTGATATTCAACTCTGGGAGGATTTGCTACAAGTTTTGTTTCTGCTCAGCTGAGCCCCTTCTTCTCTGGTGGGGGAAACAAGTCCACTTTTCAGTGGTCTGTTTGTCTCACCCAGAAGGATAGTATCCCAACACCCTTTTGGGGACACACATATGCCAAATGACCTGCTTAAAAAAAAAAAAATGCAGGGCTGGGAATGTGGCTCAGGCAGTAGCGTGCTCGCCTGGCATGCGTGCGGCCCGGGTTCGATCACCACATACAAACAAAGATGTTGTGTCTGCCGAAAAACTAAAAAAAAATAAATATTAAAATTTCTCTCTCTTTCTCTCTCCTCCCTCTCTCTCTCTCTCTCTCTCTCTCTCTCTCTCTCTCTCTCTCTCTTAAAAAAAAAAATGCAGTCCCATCAACTCTTACTACAACTTCTCAAACCTCAAAATGGCTGGGACCAAGTGGAATTAGGAGTGGAAAGGATCAGTAAGCACCCCCCAGAGAGAAGCCCAATAATGAGGCTAGATCCAGAAAAGACCTACCTGGAAACAATTCATCTCTGAGTGAAGACACGAAAGAGAGGTCCAGTGAACATTTATGTCTGCTTGGGTGGAAAGACAGCAGTCTCATCACCAACCCTTCTGCTCTGGGAATGAGTCTGGGAAGGCCAGACGTGACCTGAACAGCCTTTTATAAGGGGCGGGACTAATAATTCCCATCCCGGCCTCTGTGTGCCACTCAGCTTGCAAAAGATAATGTGTGGGTTGTTTATATTAGTGGTTGCTTCCATCCAGTAGGAAGAGGCATAATCTCCATGGTCCCTCTAACAACTGGAAGGTAACACAATGAAAAAGAAGATTATGGACAATGATAGCTAGCACTGAGTACTTGCTGTGTGGACTCCCTCCTGAAACCCAGTAACTCACTTAAAGCAACTGTCCAGTGAGATAATAACCATGGTCATCTTCTTTGTATAGATTAAGAAGGCAAGACAGAGAGCAAACTGCTCAAGGACAAGGCAGAGAACAACCTGCTAAAGGACACAAAGCTTTTACAGGACTTGTACCCAGAAGTCTGACTTCTTTGGACACAGCGTCCAAACAGGAAGATAAAATTCCTTGTTTATCAATTACTGGGCCCTCACTTCACCCAGTGATCCTAAACTTGATAGCTTTTTAGGTCGCCACAGGACGGAGGTGTCAACACTCTGACCACAGTACTGGCCTGCTCCTCTCATGTCCTGCCAGGCAGCTTGTCTCACTGGTTGAGTTCCAAGGAAAACAGGTTGTGACATTCTGCCCAGGTGTGCCAAGGAGCCCCAGATACACTGAAAAGGGAAAAAAAATCCGGAGGCCGGCTTCCTCTTGGGACATGCTGGCTCTCAAAGTTTCCAGCCTGCTTTAATACAGAGAGGTGTCACCACAAAGGAGCAGGACAGGAACATTACCAAGAGCAGAGACCCTGTAGGCCTGAGGCCACCCCAGCAGGCGTAAGAACAGCATTCAAGCTGCTGTGGTTTCACAGTCCCCTCAGGTGCTGGTCACAGCAGAGAGACACTGAGAAGAAAAGCATCTCTTCTCACTGCACCAAGCAACATTAATGCCACTCGACAGGAAGAAGCAGGAAACCTGTCTCCTTGTGGAGAAAGGCAGGAAAAAGAGGAAATGGAAAAAGCCTCCAAGAGCCACCCACATTGTCTAACTCCCCCTGCACCAACCCCAGGCAGCTGTCACTCTGGGAAGCCCCAGCCTTTGCTCTACTGGCTGTGGCAGTGGCCTTGCCCAGTGGCCCTGAAAGCTGAAGCCAGAACCAGTGGGTCTCACTTTTCCACCCCTGAGCTAACACATGGGTTCCTCAATGATCCTTTGCCATGTGCCGATCTTATAACAGAATTTGGGATAGAAGATTTAAAAAGCTATGTGATGGAGGAAGGACACTTTACCCCAAGGCTACTCAATCAAGCCTCCTCAGATGCTTTTAGAGGTCAATATTACCAGCTTCAGGGGAGGTGTCCCTAAAATGCCACTAGTTCCCACTTGAATGGGGCTGGGCAGAATTCTAGAGAGTGCGAGCAAAGCACACACCCTGGGGTTGGGGGTTGGCTCAGTGGCAGAGTGTGTGCCTAGAGTTCAGGAGGCCTTGGATTTCATTCCCAGCACCAAAATAAATAAATAAATAATAAAATAAAATATTCAAACCCTGCACAGGGGAGCAATACCTTATCCCAAGCTGAACTTCCCAAGGCTCTGACAAGGGAGAGTGTCAAGAGGGTATACCCTGGGTACCCAAACTGGAGGTACCCAAACTGCAGAAACTGAAAAGGAAGGGAAAGCAATGGGAGATTCCCAAATTAAAGTGACCACTAGGTCATGGATCCAGACCCCATTAGAGCCCAGTGATGTCCCTTCACTGTGTCCATGCCCACCCTGCTTCCTTTAGATCTACAGTGAATGGGACACAAGAACCATGGAGACCTCCTCCACACCCACAGCCATCCCCACCTTTAGGGCCCATAAATGTTATTGCCAAAGAACCTTGCCCCTCTTTCACAGGGAGGGAAACTGAGGTATCCAGAATCAATCATCATGCTTTCCTAAACCAGGTTGAATTTCAGCTCTCTAACCACAATCTTGCACTTTTTTTTTTTTACAGCTTTATTACATTTCAAATTTCTCCAGATACACCAACTGTCGTTACAAAATGAATTGTAAATACAATCGAAGGACTAAACTCAAAATGAGATGAGGGCACTCACGGAGTCCAACACCGGCTTATTGACTGCAAAGACAGGATGGGTGACCCCTACTCCCAGCTCAGCCCCACTCCCCTCCCCGGGGACCTTCGAGCGCGGCCACCTCCCCGCCAGCGGCTTCCACCGCAACGGGAGGGCGGGGGCACGGCGGGCCCTGGAATCGGCGGGCGGGCACTCGGTGACGGGGCAGGGGGCTCGGGGCGCCTCCCCCGCTGCCCGTGTCGCCGCCGGCCCGCCCAGCCTGGGGGCCGGGAACTTCTGACCGCGCTGACCGGACCCACCGCCCCCTCGTCCCCACCCTGCCGGGCTGCCGGGCGTGTGTGCGGCTCGGGTTTCCCTTTCTTTGCCTCGCAGCGCCTCGGGCGCGACCCCCGAGGCGGCGGCCACTCACCATATTACAGATGGAGGCGATGTTTCGGACAGTCATTAGTCTAAAGGTTGCAGCGATCCCGCACCGCCATCTTTACAAGGTGAAAACAGGACTGTCCATGGTGGAGCGCGCAGGAGGCCGGGCGGCGGCGAGGCGGCCTGGGGTCCGGCTTTCAGTTTGGCTGGGAGAGGGAGGCCGGGAGGGAGGAGGAGGCGGCGGCGGGAGGGCGGGGAGGGCGGGGAGGGCCGGGAGGCAGGCCGAGGGGCGGGGAGTGGCGGAGCGAGGGAGCCTGGGCCGCGGCCGGCCGGCGCGCGGGGAGGAGGGGCGGCGAGCGCGCCGCGGGAGTCCGCCGGCCGCTCCGAGCGCTCCGCCGCGCGCCCTGCCGGCCCGCGCCTCGCTCCCTGCAGGGTCTCAACCTTTGGCTTTTCCTTCGGATGCCCGGCTCCACTCTGGATGGAACGCGGGGCCTGGCCGGTGGTCGCACAGCTGTGGCAGCAGCACCACGCTCCCCGCAGGGCGGACCTCAACCCCAACACAGCGGTGGCCCTCGGCTTTCCTCCGGAGCCCGTGGCGTCCTCGGGAAGCCAAAGACTGCTCCAGACGTTGGCCACTGACCGACCCGGGCTGAGGAAACGGGGACTCCAGTCTAGGGCACGCGCGCCAAGGAGAGGGCTGACAGGGACACCGCTTTCAGTCTGAGCCCCGTCTTTAGGTCTCTCTGCCTTATCTCTGAGCCCTCACCACCACCTAGTCCAATATCCCCTGGCTTTTGTGTTTTTTTAGTGCGTGGAGAACATGAGAAGTAGGAGTGATTACGTCCAACTTTTAGTTTTCCCCCAGGGTTCCGGCCAGATGGCACCCGCGGGAATCCAAGAAGTAAAATGGGGTCAGGACATGGGAGTGGCCTGAAAGCCCTGGCCAGCAGCCGGCCGGCAGCTGCCTGGTAGAGGGTGCCGGGAAAGGAAAGGAATCCGAGTCTGGGCAGAGGCCAGATGCAGCAGTGCATTCAGGCAATTTGTGACATTAGCAGGTATAAAGGGAAAGTCATGCTTCTGGGCAAGTATAAAGATGGAGTGGAAAGAAGAACAAAACTTTTCCTCATCCTCCAAGAAAACATCCCTCTCAGGGGCACCTAATCTCTAGTTTTTGAGATAGGTGATGTTTCCCCTTATACGCATTTCCCACATAGAAGGTCAAGACTGCAGGCTCCAAGTGCAAATTTGTACATCACTTGGCAGATAAGTTCATGTGAACTTAAAGAAACCTTTTCCAACTGTGAGAAACAATGCAAGGTTGTACCAGGGCTGTCCATAAAGGAAGTTTGTACAAGTGAAACACATGATAAATTCCTAATGTTTAATGGCAAACCGAATTAGAAGAGAAATTAATAATAATTGAAGACAGCTTCTGTCTAGCCAAGGGTAATGTTTTGGGTGGGAAGTGATGTTACACACATAAGATTTAAGAGTTGTTAATTGCTAATACTCCTAGGACCTGTTGTGGAAATAGAATTCAAACACTGCAGACTGGACATCTGGGGAGCCATGTCAGCATTGTATTTTTCAGTGGATATAAGCATTAATATTCCTGCTTAAGCCATACAACCTAAATCTAATTTCTGAATAGGTCCTGATGATAATGATAGCCAACTTTCATTTGTAACCATTGTCAGTCTTGCTGTGCTTGACATTTATGATCTCCTTCAGTTGCCACCATGACTTTATCAGGTGGTATACACTATTACACTATTATTGTGCAGATCACTAACAGAGGTTTAAAGGATCAACTATCCTGCCCCGTTCTGTGTTATCCAAATGTTACAGATGAAGCCGGTGTGCTAACCCAAGTTGGGCACTATTGATTGAGGAGGAGTCAGCAAAACACCCAAACTATGATCCATCAGGGTACTGAGGCCCAGAAAAATTCAAAGATTTTTAAAATGTCACATAACAAGTTTAAGAGCAACCTCAAGGCTAAAAATCAGGCCTCAGTTTTACAGGTCCTCTATAAAGGCATTAATTCAAATCTTTAAATGAAATGAAAATTTTACACCATGATAAGAGTTCGGTTTTCTCCCAATGTTGGCTTATGGATTGCAAAATCCACAGGATTAAAAAGACCACTGACACAATGAAAATTGAACAGCATCTGATTACTGAGTGCTACCTCAGCAAGTTAAAGGGAACTTTTACATGCCTCTCACAGCCTATAGCCTAAACCAAAGTGTTCAATATACACAACAAGATTGAAACTGGGGTAGTAAGTTACATACACAACAAATCAATTGAACATGACAGAGCTTGTCCAACTCATGAATGATTAAATACATCTTACACTTGCACAGGGTTGATATTCATAGGTCTTAACTAGAAAAAGCCTGAGTTGACACCACTTCAAATCTATATACAAACAGAGATATGAAAAAATTGTGGTATATATGTGTATTAAGAATTGTAATGCAAAAAAAAGAGTACATGTATAATGGCGTAATTTGGTGTGAACATACTTTATATACAGAGTTACGAAAACTTGTGCTGTAAATGGGTAATAATAAGTATAATACATTCAACTATTGTCATGTATATAAAAAATAAATTAAAAAAAAAAAAGGCCTGAGTTGAAGATTTGTAACCATAGCTTCACTCAGTGAGGAAACATTATTCAGTGGGGATAAGAGGTAAAACCGTGAAAATGTTAACAAACCAATGAGAGAACTTTGAGGAAAACTGCCCCACATATAGTGAGCAGTGATATGAAGGTGTAGAATATAAGGCTGGGAAAAGAAGGCAAATGGAAGAACAGGTTATGGGCTGAAACTAAGTAGCCTCATTTGAGGGAGGCATTCACTCCAGGTAGTATGCATGCCTCTGCACACACCAAGTGTGGTCCTTGAACCAGCAGCACTGGCATGGGCTGGGATGTTGTTAGATATACAGACTCCATTCTCCATCCCAGACCTAAATAACAAATCAGTTTTTGCTTAAAAGTGTGAGGACCACTGCTTCAGCCAAGTATTTGTGGTGGAATTCTGCTTCTGCAGGCCCAGCAATCATTACCCTTCTTCTAGGAATTGCTTGGGGATTCTACTCTGGGGAATGTTCCCTCCCTGGTTCTCAGACCTTAGGGTTTAGGTGTTGTCTGACCTGGTCCCTGGCTCCAGAGGAAGGCATATGACTAGACCCAGCCAATGAGAGCATTTCATGATCCATTCACAGTGATTGGTTTGGTAAAGAGGATATAATAACAAGCTAAGCTAGTAAGAGTCAGCCCTGGGACTTTGGGGGTAAGAATTGTTCCCTTCCTGAATTCACTGAACTGATCAGATATAAATCTAGAGCTGTCTTCTTTCCATTGTCTGAAAACAAAGCCAACTCAGGAAAAAGGAACCGTGGGATGATAAAGACATCCTAGTATCATTTACCCACTTGCTGCCAGATCTAACTCCTGAACTTTTCAGTAACTCAAGCTGGTAAAGTCTTTGTTTTCTTTGGCCAACTTCAACAAGGCACCTGCTGTTCACGACTAAAAGAATCCTAAGACAACAGTGTCTCCCTGTCCCTGATATTCATTCTGAACTCATGATTTCCCTTTTCCTCTCTTGTCTATCCTCTAAACCAAACTTACAAGTTTTGCCTCCTCCATTAGGTGTTCCCAGATGGCCCCTGCAACTCCTCATGCTTTCCCCACCCCGACCTATGAAGTTCTCCATCCTGATGACCATTGGTGCCATACATTCCTGTTGTCAACAGTTTTGCATCTGCCTTCCTTCCCTTTGCTATCACCTACTCAGTCTTTAAGTGTCTCCTAAGACACGTGAGATGCTTTTGTTTATATTCTTATAGCACCATCCATCCTCCCAAAGTGGAACTCATATCTGTAAATATGCTTATGCCATATAGCACATAATGGAGGCAAGGGGTAGTTAAACAGTAGATGCTGGTTTCAGGTTTTCTGCATCATCTGTATGACTGGGTAAGTTTCTTACCCTCTCTATGCCTCAGTCTCCTTCCCTATAAAGTGAAGACAATAAGAGTACCCCTCAGAGTTTCATTTCACTGTTTTCTATAAAGTACAGTGAATAGGTATGGCATATACTAACAACTACTATCTGAGAGCCATTAATATCATGCATGGGGTTGAATGTCTGAATGTGATGAATGTCTGTTTCTGACTCTTCATCAGACATGAAATAAGAAACAGGTCTGGTTTTGCTCCCTATACTATACCTAAAGAACCAGGGCATTGTCCACAACAGGAGCCAATAAACTGAATATTAATATTTGGACAAGTGTCTCTTTTCCAATTGTCTGGAAGCTCCTGGAGGGGCGCAGGCTGATCTTACTGTTTTTTTTTTTAAAAAACCTCATGCAGTCTCAAACACTGTGCCTGGCACAGTAAGCTCTTTCCATTTTCCTTACTGCCAAAAAGGCTATTGCAGCTCATTTGATATGCAAATGGTTAGTAAATGGTGGCTTTCTGGTGGAGGAAAAAAAATATTTTCCTGGCTGTGGACTTGAGTTTAATTACCAAAATGATTTCTGTGAATTGTATCTCAGTTCCATTCAGTCTTTTCCCTTAATCACCATGTATCCAACAGATATTAAAGACATGATTTGAGCTGAACCTGCAAAAGGCATTGGGGATCCCTGGATAAAATCAGGCACTTCCAACTCTGCCCTGCTGGATTTTATAATGAAGTTTTCTTCCACATTGTTTATAAGTATTTTTGTTACTTTTTATATGCTATTAATATTAAATAAGGATAAGATGACTTTGGAGTGATGGTCACATTAGGATCTCTCCCATGGAGAAATAACATCTAAAATCATGGTGTAGAATCCTAGTTTTATTTATAAATAGTCGAGATTCCCTAAGCCTTTGGAACAATTGGCTGATTTTGAAGAACTAATTGAAAAGGCCACTGAAGGATTTTTAAACTAGGTTGGGACATGATGAGATTTTTATGTGGTAATACATTTTATTAGCTGAAAGAACAGTTTACTCTAGTTGGCTACACTATAGGAAAGAAGGTTGAAGGACAGCAGAAGTGCCCTAGGTGAGGCCATTGAGAAACCTAAGAGTCCCAGAGCTGTTGGCAGCCTGGATTTACAGGAGAGGCTGTGGAAAAAGAGAGAAGCATACAGACTGAAGACTGGCTTTTGGAAGCAGTCAGCTAAATTTGTGGATGACTGGAGTGAGAGACAAGGATAAGTTCAAGGTTTCTGACTG